TATAATAAATATGTATAGATTTTTTTCATCCCCTGGTGTGTTTTTATTCATAGGTACCTATTTAAATTAATTTGATTTTGATGATATGGTTGCTTTGTAAACTGCAGTGAATAGAAAACAGGGATGTTATAACTAATTAAAAACATATAAATCCATTCAACTTGTATATATTTTAACAAATTTATTTTATAAAAGTAAAATCATTAAAATTAATTTACATTGATTTGAAAAATAGAATGTTTTCATTTACAATTTTTCTGTCATTGGGTACGATTATCTAATAAGGTTGGAGCTTGATTTGGTGTGCATATGTCAAAGTGGTATGATTAGTGAACTATAAGCATTGCTAATAGTCAACCCTATTTTTAAATGTAATATTAAGCTTGTTTTCAGTTTTTTAACAAATATGAAAACGGTTTCCTCTATCAAAAAAATAAAGAGACCAAGTTCTTCAAATAAAATTTTATTTTATTGGACACTGCTACTACAATGTAGTTTTCTGTGTACCACAATGTTGCCTACTTCATACCACAATTTGAGAACTGTTGAATTACTGTATTGTACTCATACTTTACATATTAAAAGTGGACCATCTACTTTTAATGCTATTAGTTTACTAATCACGTCACTTTGACAGCAGAGATGTTTATACAGCAAAGTACTGAGCTCTAACCTTAATAGATAATGGGAATATTATAATGTATTATGTAATATGAAAAAAAAAATATTAATCATAATTATATATTTTACCAAAATAAAACAATGCATTTTATAAATAGAATTATAACTAAAAATATTAAAATAATTTACTAATTAATTATTTAATTTACAATTATAAAACTTATTTCAGTTACATTACTTTCAACTACATTACTTTGGACAACTTATACGAATTATTTTGAAATTCGGTAGATACCTTATGTCACCATCCCAGGTACGCAAATACAATAGTTGACTGGCATCAAATAGGTTTGGCACTTCTATAAAAATAATTTAAATCAATGTAGTTATTCATTTTGTGTTTACATCATTAAAAGGACAGTACAATGAAGTATAACAGTCAACAGTCAGATTATATTAAATTGTATTGTAATGTAAATGTATTAAAATTAAATCTATTATTAGATTACTTTTAACTTAAATTACTTTCATAGATTGAATACAGAAAAATAGACTTAACATGGATTAAATTGATATAAAATATATTTAATGTAATATATAAACATTATGTGTGTATGTTTACATGTATGCAAATATTATAAAAAATAACAATATTATACCTAGATTAAAAAAACTGATATTTATATATCATTAAAGTGAAATTTGTATTTATGAGTTTCAATAATACAAATGTTTTCAAATTAACAATTATTATTTAATTATAATATACATTATTTGAGACATTAATTAATTATTGAAAGAATCCTTTCAAGACCCAATCAATAGATATTGGAATTTGTTTATTTTTCTTTATGTTAACTATAGCGGTTAATTAACTGTGTATACAATAATTATTATTAGCATCACTTCAAAATGTAACTATTTGGTAAAGTTGGATATACTGATAATTGATGATTACTTAAGAATTATGTAACATTAGGGAAAATGCACAACAATGTGTTTGTGTGAAATTTGTTTTTCATTCAAAGAAAGGTAGAAATAAGATTAAGCATTCACAGTAGCAAGCAGTAAACCATACTGAATATTGTATTGCAGTCTGACATATTAGTCATAACAATCGAATCAATTGGTGAAATAACAATATAAAATAAAAACAAATGAAACTTCTTCATTCATAGACAGTTGCAAAAGGAATGATAGTAGTCACACTTCAAAAAAAAAGAAAATAATAATAATTGAAAAATTTATTATTAATTTATTTTTGTAAAAAGGTATGCAAGTTGTATTGGTGACATGAGTGTTTATTTATTTTTGATATTTTAATATAATTTTGGACTGAACACCATTGACAACACATTTACTGAAGATAACACTGTAAACCATAACTAACTATTTTACTTATTTATTTACAACAAAAAAAAGAAAGAAATAAATGCATATCTTTAACAAACTTACCTATACCAGCAGTATTATATTCTTCTCTTTCTCGTTCCATTGTATGTCTAATGATATCCTCTCGACTAGCAAATCGCCTGTTATTCTTATCTTTATGTCTTCCTTTGATTATACTCATTTCATGTTCAAAACGTTTAAGATATCTAAAATATACATTATATATATTGTAAATGTTTCAAGATTCAAAATAATTTACATAAGTACTTGGAATAAAGTATTTTTTACTTTTTTTAAACAAGCAAAATAAGTTTCTGTAATTTATTATTGAAAATGTATTTATTAAGTAAAATATACTACACACTATAAATGTATGTTTAATTTTAGAATCAGAACCAAAATAGGAAATTATTAATTTGTCTCGGCAATTTTATTTTGGAAAAAATAGATCATTGAATACAAATAGTGTCTTAATCATTTAAAAATTATTATATTATTATTAATATAAGATTAATACAAGGTAATATAAGTTTTGGACTAAGTATATTGCATTTTTAAATGAATAACAATTATGAGTTGATAACAGGGTTGATGACAATTAACATGTACTAGAATTGAAAGAGTACAACAGTTCTACAACATTTGATTTTTCATATTGAATACAAATTATTATGAATGGGGTTAACCGTGGAAAAGTAAATGATAAATATATTGTTGTATTGTTTGTTTTACATAGGAATATTTGTAAAATTGCAAAGCTGAGTTTAGCAATGCAGTCAGTGCACACTGTTCACTTAAATTCAGAATTAAATTGAATGTCATACAGTGTACACATTTATCGAGTTTTTACACTCATTAATTAGTAATTATTAATTACCTAGTGCATAATTATTAAATATTATAAGTTTAATATGATTTTAAAAGTTATAATACATACTTTTCAATTAATAATATAAATGTATCCTGTGTGTATTCTTCAATGGTGTTATCAACATTATCCCTAAACCAAATTAATTTTTCACACAATAAACTCGGCTTAGCTAAATTTACAAGCTTCTTTTTGTCTCGAAATGCAATGCTAAAACATATATATATTTTTTAAAATATGTATATAAACAACAAACATGTTTTTTTTAAGATAATAATGAATTGTAGCATTGGGGCAGTTTAGTACCTACTCATTTTTTGATTTTTTTTTTTTTAATATGTGAGCACTAAATCTCTAAATATACTAATTCTGAAAATGATAGAAAATTATTGCTTTTATTTTAGAAGTTATACTAAAAAACCAGTTGAAAAACATGAGAAATTCACCCTATTAAATAACAATAACAATATGATTTTACCACATTATACATCTATAATTAGTAATTATTAGAAGGCATGTAGTTCAAGGTAATATTCATTCAGTTTAATGGCATAAATTTAAAAAAAAAAAAATCATTGGCTTGCACTCTAAATAGGGGAAACCAGAAGCTTTTTTTTATATAGATAATTTGTACTAAAAAATTGGAAAGGGGAAATAGACAAGTTTTAAAACTATTTTAAATTGCAAATATGTATAGTGAGTAGTAAAGTATAATTTGTGTCGTGGTACAGTACTCAGTGTGTTAATAATGCACCACTACTCTTCTCCAACACAAACTTAAAAGTGGAATATCTAGTCAACAGATTGACGGAAATCAAAAGTTTCAACAATAAATTTATTTTAATTAATACTCCATCTATTTATCGAATTTTAAATAAAGGTTACCATTTGAAAATCAAAAGTAGGTAATGGTTTTACCCCAAAAAATAAGGGTGAAAAAAAAAATAACATAAATATAAAATTGTAGAGCTGCTTGTTTCTTAAATGTTCTAGAAATCAAATTCTGAAAAGAAGTTAATACTTTCCAAGATAATGAATGTACCCATTTAGATGGGTCACCTGTTGCTACTGGACTTTCGGTTATTTTTTCAACCGGAAGTGTACTATACGTTAAACGCACAATGTAATGTTGTTCAACGTTTGTATTACTACAAAAAATTTAAAAAAAAACTTAAAAACAAGGTCATATTATTTTTTTCAAAGATTATAAATTTTAATAAAAGGTATATTAACACATTTATGATAAAAGGTATATAGTATATTACTTGTGTTTAGTTTTAATCAACTGTTTTGTTTTCCTACTATTTGGATGATTCACATTCAGCACAGATGGCTTTGGTTTACCCTAAAATTTAAAATTAAAAACACAAGATTAATTACAATTTCAATTTATATTATGAACATAACTAATACCTATACAAAATATAGTGCCCGTGCCAACCAATTTTTCATTTTTTTTTTTACCTTTATTCTTGTTTTGATTTGCCCGTATAAGTGTATTGAACGGAAAAAAAATAGGTGGAATGTAGGTCAGTGATGAACTAAAAGTGTTCTAAAATTATGAGGACATTATAGTATTATAGTAATGTAATGTTGTCACTGTACCAAAAAATACAAAGATTCAAAGATGATGTTTTATGTGTTTTCACTTTTCACTTAACCACCCTCTACAGCACATAGTAAATAATAGGCAAATAATAGGCAGGCAGACAGTCAGATAGACCCTTTATTTTAAATTGTTATGGCATTTTTATTTCTGTTTATTATTTATTTAATCTGTATAACAATAGTAACCCATAATTCAACAAAAATAATATAATTTTCATACCAAAAATAGATACCTAAGAACCTTTTATACCCCATTGCACCTACTTCTAAGTTATTAATCGAGATGAAGACTACGCTAACTTTTAAGTTGGATCGAATCACTCACATTGAGTATTATCTTATCAAAATCGATCGAAGAGTTTTAAAGTGGATCACACTTAAATTCGTCGTACGCGTGATTTCTACGTATTATAATATTTAAAATGTAGGTATTTTACAGAAATAAAATCAAATCAATTTACCATTATTATTTGAAAGAACAATAAATTCTTCTGATATTAGTGAATTGTAGAATGCCTGATAATTCACTATAAAAATTGTACAAGTTTTACAAATTCACATAGTAACAAAAAATAACATTAATTATGGACATTATTTCATTATTCGAAAGTTTGGTATAATCATAGTAGGATATTACAAAACACAAATTACAAATTACAATGCACGTGGTTTAGTGGTTTCATTTACTTGATTAGAGTCTTGAATTATTATCATTTGGTTCATGATAAAAGATGTTTTCATTTGATAACTATTTGATATAGATTGAAGTACTAGATGGCGCTAGCAAAACTTGATTATTAAAAACTAAATATTGTATATTGTTTTAAAAATGATTTTCCAGTAGATTGTGTTCGATTAAAAACAACGGTAGATAATAGACATTATCATTTTTAATTACAGCCTACCTAGGCATAGGTAAGTATCACGGATTAAGATATATCAATTCGTGGTAGGTATATAGTTTTTAGATTCTGAGTGAAGTGAAGAACCTTATGGTTTTACAAAATGTTTATTTTATTTTATTTTTTTTTCTCTGAATAACTTTTTTACCAGAAAGTTTGCTCCGATTTATGATAGCACTTTTTTCAAAAGAAAATCAGTGTTGGGAGGTACTTTAAGAAGGTCATTTTTATTAAGAGTTTTGTCATCAATTGTGAAAAACCGAAAAAAACGGAGGAAAAACGGAAAAATGTACGAAATGTAGGTACTTGTAGGTATCAGCTATCTATAATGCATCAGAATATACTCGTACTATCATTCTCGATATTTAGCTCTCGTATAATTTTATTTACTTGTGAAATTTACGTTATTTAAACATTATTTATACATTAATACTTTGATACTTACCTATAATATTTTTAACTAATTTAGCATCTATAGGTATTTTGTTAGTAAAATAATATAATATAGTGATTTTTACCATCTGTTTTTAGTGAAGTGAATATGTATATACTTAACTGTAAGAAAGTATTTAAACTAAGGCGTAAGCATATGGGTATTAACTATTAGCTATACCTACTTATGGTTTTTTAACGTTAAAGATAATTCATGCGGATGAAATACGTTTACATTATTATCTATAATATAAATAATACAAGATTTTGTATGTATTAGGAGGATTAAATAGCAATAATTCCGACATTTATCCGAGTAGTGTAAGTACACTTATACACTTTGCCTTCAATGTATAATATTATTATAGTGCTGGATTTGTACACTTATATATCAGCAGATAATGTCTTATTTAACAACCAGTAATCGGTCAACTTATGATTATTAATAATCGTATAATATATAATATGCATATATTTTTTTTATATTGAAATATCATGTTTCGAAGAAAACTCGATAAGATTAACAAAAAAAAAAAAAAAAAAAATGAAAATCTTTAAAAGCATATTCTAAAAACCTCCGAAATCTAATACGTATTATACATATAACTTATAGTTATATATAGTTATAAGTATATTGTATTGTTCAAGTATACATTTAATCTTGCGTAATACATTAACTCAAAGCGGATACGATCGATAAAACCCAAATTTAAATTTAAAAAACCGGGTATACCTCGAAAGTTTAGAAGAAACTCGACATTTTAAGAAAAAAATTATATTTGTTTTTTCTGGACGTGGTGAAATTTTCAAAACATTTGCACCATTTTTGAGCTATATAGCTTTGTGTATGTAATTGTTAGAAAAAACAGAAATGCTTGAAAATTTGACAGGTTTATTATAAGCCATAATACTCGGTAATAATAATAAAACAAATTTAATGTAAAGTATATTTTTTTTTATTAGTATTAAAATCAAATTTTAACGAAAATTGTAAATATTACGGTCTTTCAAAACATGTCTGACTGAACTTCGCTCCGAATCGTTTTTCCTTAGTAATGGTTTATCTTTGGTTACTGCAGGTATAAATTAAATAACTATATGCATTCCGCCTTTCCAACTAGCCACCTACAAAAGTGGCTACACCCGTTCCTAGTATCAGCGCTCTTTTTAGATTCCGAGCATAGCGATCGAGCCGTTGGTTTTACTAAGATGTTTATTTTTTCTTCTTTTTTCTAAAAATGTTAACCTTTGCAGTGTGCGCTAGTACAATAAAATTTACATTTCTTTAAATGAAAACATAAGAGAGGTCTAGTTCCAAAGCGTACAGTCTCCAGTTTTCATGAAAAATCAAATTAATGTCGTTTCATATGCAATTTTCAGCGCTGAATTCGAATAGCTCAGTATTTTAAAGCTAAATGGTCAAACTGTATTTTAGATTCCGAACGTAGCGATGGCGCTATTAGTTTTACAATGTTGTTTTTTTTTCTGAAGTTCAAGTTGTCTAGATTGTACTTTAGAGAGGTAATTTTTTGATTCTCGACGTCTTTTATTAAATAAAAGAACTTAAGTGAGAAAAAAAACGAAGAAAACGCATAATTTAACGATTTCATTATTTTATAAAAACACGGACAACGTTTTCTACCAGAAAAAAATGATTTAATCGAAAAATCACAAGACACTTTATTTGTTGCTCTTTTGATTTACTTTCTTACAGTATTATTGCTAAAACTTTTGAGCCACTTTTGAGCTTTTAAGGAATTTTAATTTTTGGGAGTTTTTGTGCTGTAATTCGGTTATAAATACACGAAGAGACTTGAAACTTGATAAAAATACATATATTGGACTTATCTAGACGTGGCAAAATTTCCAAAATCATCGGATGACTTTTTTATTTTTAATAAGCGTTTTGAAATCAAATTTAAACGAAAATCGCTAGAAAAAAAAATACAGAACTTCAAATTATGTGTTACTGAACTGCGCTCGAAATCGTCTTTCTTTAAGCAATGGTTTATCATTACTTATAGATAAAAATGAAATAACCTTATGTATCCTACCTTTCCAACTTCTCGCATACAACAGTGGCCGCTTTCATCCCCAGTATCAGCTTTTTTTTTCTAATATTATAATATATATAGGGAACAGAGTTGTTATTCCGTCTCGTGTGGTCAAACAAATTTGTAAACGTTATCCAAAAGAGAACGGATTATATATAATGTTGGTTTTTGAAATCTGTTATTAATATAATTTATTTTATATTTTATTATAGTGCATGAAATATTCAAGTCGTTAGTTTTATAGTCGTATATCCTACTTATTCTGGTTCAAAATCTATTCAATTTTATGTACCTACCTTTATTTGAATTTATATATTTAATTGTGAAGTGTTTTTACACATTTATTTGTTTTCTTACATTATAAATGATAATACCTATTACAGTTATTTCAGATTTAAATAACAGAGTACGATATTATTTATTTTTGATATTTTGTATATTTGTATTATTATCCGTTCCTATAAACTACCCTAAAATAAATTTTAATACTATGGAAAGTACAATCATCAGAAGAAATATACATAAACTTTTTATAAATGCAATTTGATAACTTATACTTTAAATCAATTTTCCTTTGTGTAGTTATAATTATAAAATTGTATATACCATGCATGTATTTTAGATACACGGTGTGATTTTATGTTATCATGCGTAAAACGTAATTTATATTTATAAACCGAAGCAATAATATTGTCAGTCAACAAAAATTTTTAAACCACCAAAATTATTATTTTTTTAAAGCACTATATTTTCATACGAAAAAAAACATTGGTTCTTTTGTTCTATAGTCCTTTAATTCTATTACACCGTCGGTTTTCAATTTAATTAAATTGATTGTATTTGGTATAGATATAGTCTATATATATCTTACATATAAAAATTATGCATGCGACGAGTTTGGATGCGACGCACTTTGAAACTTCTCAACCGATTTTGATAAGATAATACTTAACGTGTGTGATTTGGTTCAACTTGAAAGATAGGATAGTTTTCATCTCGATTCGTGACCTAGAAGGGGATGCTATGGGGGATGGAAATGTTTTTAGTTATTTTTGGTATGACAATTAAATTATTTTTGTTGAATTATGGGTAATCTTAGTTACACGAATGAAATGAAAAATAATTTAAAATAAATAATAATAAACAGAAATAAAAATGTCATAATAACTATAAAAACTTAAATTAAAGAGTCTATCTGATTGTCTGCCGACCTATTATTGGCTTGAAATAGGATGAGTCAACTTGATAAAATGGATGAAAAAAAAACAAACAATTTTGCACTCTACACCTGTACTGCAAGGAGGTTAAGTGAAAAGCAAAAACACGTAAAACATCATCTTTGAATTGTTTTATATTTTAGTATAGTGACAATATTACCCTACTACAGTACTATTACGTTCTCATAATTTTAGCGTTATTATAGTCTATATATAGTTTAATCCCGGTGCTGTACGGGTTATATCTTACATATCTATGGTAACACGGATGAAAAAAATTATGACACACTAGAACACTTTTAGTTCACCACTGACCCACTTTCCACCTACTTTTTTTCGTTAAGTATATTGATACGGGCAAAGTAAAACGGGAATAAAAGTAAAAAAGATTAAAAGATTGGCATGGGTGACGCCGAGAGCGGAACAGCTAGTATATATATATATATATATATAATAACATGTCCTAACTGACTGATTCATCATCGCACAGCCTATACGATTGGACGGATTGGGCTGAAATTTGGCACGCGGATGGCTATTATAACTTAGGCATTCGCTAAGAAATGATTTTTGAACCTAAGTAAATGGTTAAAATAGAGGTTTTTGATATTTTTCGTATGAAAATCTAATTGTTTCTTGATTGTTTATTGTTTTTTTATTTGTTTATTTTTGTTTATTCATGGGTTAGGTACCTTAATGACATAGATGACAATTTGGTTGTCACGGACAAGAAAACTATTGTATTGTATTGTTAGTAGTATTAATATTATTACTAACTGCCCCACCTGGAATTGCACATGCTATTTTTGTGTTAATTTGTTTTGTTTTACCCATATTCTTTTGTGGTTTTGACTGTCAGTATTCAATGAAAACAAATAGGTGTAAAGTGGGTAGACCACCTTCGGACTAAAAGTGTTATGCTGTTACATTTTTTCATGATTTTCATAACAAAAATATCTAAACACCGACATTTAGAGGGGGTTGGGTTTCAAAGGAAGTGAAGCCTAATCTAACTTATCGGGGAGTGGGGATGCTCTATATTGGGAGAGCGCGTGAACCGTATACTATATAGTTGTCGC